ACCTCCTTTGTTAGAACTTGAAAATAGTAAAGGTGTTTTCTTCATTTTCAAGGAAAGGTGAGACCAAGAAAATATGTTGTTCATGAAAAGAATAACAATACATTTTTCTATAACATTTTTATGAGGATCTCATATACTATGTAATAATGAGTCTTAAATCCTCAGTGTAGTTGCAAATACACATTTTTTTCCAAAGAAGAAAGTATGAGTTTATGTTATCTTAAATCCCTTACAGTCTATAGGAGGCTTTCATGAATATGGTAGCAATAAATGTTTGTCATACAAAAAAGGAGAAAAATATAGAAAGATTTCTTACTTGTGGTTATTAAAACTTCATTAATGCGTGATAGTGTTAGCTCGTATTTCTTGGAATGTAACAAACATGTTTAAGGATTGACTGATCTAATCGATATCATTTTCTGTGTGTTATTTAATTTTGGAACAACTTATCCATTCTCTTTTTCATGGTACGGCCAGGTCAAAGCCTTTTTGTTCATGTTTGATTGTGCCTTCAAGGTGATGGAATTTTCAGCCATTGATACATATGATTAACAGTAAGAAATACATTTGCACCCAAATTCTCTATTTACATGCCAACCTATCAATAATTTTGGCAATGTGATTTGACAAATAAAATGAAGAAACTGATAGTCACTTTTTCTGTGTGCAACAGAGCAATATCCAATGTCAATATCACCACTAATCATATCATCCTTTTATTTGTATCTCAAGGAAAAAGTCATACAGTTATGTCTGGTTCTCATCATCAGTTTGTTAATGATTGCTCTTCCTTGCTATAGGATTCTTCAGACATTCATTTCTTTTCTCCATTCCTTTGTCCAAAATTACAACTGTGATGTGCTATGAAGCTATAATTACAGGCATGACTATGTATTTTCAAGGTACAAATAAGGCGAAATAACACTCCTCACAGGTTCCCCTTGGGTTTTCCATTATTTATAAGTGATGTGATCAGAGGGTGGGTGCTACATAAGTGGTCCATCAGGAAGACTTGAAATGCCTCAGAAGAGGTATGCAAAGGAGAGGTGAGAAGAGGCTAAGGATAATCTTTTTATCATTTCAGCATTTAGACTTTTATTAGTTAAGAACTAGAAGTCAGGTATCACCATTCACACTAAAGGCAAGGAGTGTCTCTAGTACTGAAACACTCTGTCAGGGTCCTTAAGGAAACAGGGATCTTGAAACAACTGCCACTGTAATTCAAAATCTCAGAAACACTTTCACTGAAGTTACCCAAACAGTAGAGAAGAGTAACAGGGATGGATGTAGTTAGAAGCATCGTCTGAATACAGGGAAATTAAAATTCAACTCAGACTTTTCTCAACCTATTAAAAAAAAATTACTGAGTTCTTCTAAAAAGATAAAAGCAGTCAATCAAATTCACCTTGGCCCTTGACCTGCCCCGAAGTCCAGCTGTGTTTCCTTAGTTTACTCTCTCTCCAAAGCTCTACACTGCAGGGACAGCAGTGTCTGTTTCAGACTTTCTTCCTCAAACCCCTGACCATGCCCTTTGCTCTCAAGGGAGACTTAACCTCCTAATTCACAGATTACAAAGAAGCCAGAAAGTGAAGATTGCCTTAAGATCCTTTCACTAAACCTGCAAAACCATTGCATCTTTATCCCCTTTACCTCCTCCTTTATTTAAAAATAAATGTTATCCTTTTTATAAGACTACTTTTCTGCTGTCTTCTAGATTCTACCCTTTCTGACTTCTCAGAGAGCCTGCTCTACACATTTAATGATTGCTTCTTCCTAGAAGTCACATTTCTGGAAAATGCCATTTGCATGATAATGTCTCCAGTTTTTATCTCTTATTCATTCCTAATCATCAGTTTGCATTTTCAGAGGAGCAGATACCAGTACAAAATTAAGTGTGCAAGCAGAGATTTCTTGGGGAAAATACCTATAAAGGAGAAAGGGGAGGGAGCACAGAAGGTGGGCAGAGCTTTCAGACATGAGCCCTTGAAGAAGAGAGCATGCAGGAAGGAAGATTGATTAGCGAGAGTCTCAAGGCTGTAACATAGTTCTAGGATAGTTTCAGCCTGGCCAGTGGGGACACCTCCAATCAGAGCTGCCCAGTTAAGGAATGCCAGGTCTCTCAAGAATGGACCTGCCTTATACTCCTACTGTGCTCAGTCATTGGCTTTAAGTAGCCAATGGGAAATACGGACTCTGCTCCAATGGTGGAAAATCCAGAAGGAACCTGGCTGGAGTCACCATTCAGTTATGCTCCTGCAGCAGGATGTCAGAGTGAGGCATTCTCTTGACAACACTTTCAGCCTCCTGAGCATGAAGACTGGAATTATATACGCACTGTGCATGATTAGGACACTAGAGAAACAGTAGTCAGTAAGTATGCTTAGTATCCATTTTAGCAGCATGATCTTGGAGACATTGTCTTCTTCTATTCCTCACCATACATACATTCAGTCATTTGAACTAAGAATTAGAACAGCTGAGTCAGATCCTTCACTCTACCATCAATTAAGTGTGAAACCTTAAGTTAATCTCCCTGTCCCTCAGCATCTGCATCTTGGGGATGTGCCCTGCATGTGAGTGTCGTTCTTCAGGTGAGCTTCTTTAAAAAAAAAGTTGAAATTCACTGGACTAGATGACCTTTATGGTCCTCTCCAGCTCTAAAATATATTGTTGCCAGACTAGAAAATATTAAGCTGAGTGTACAAGTGTACAGAGTAACATCACTCAATTATATTAAATAGTTTTTATTATAATGTCCTTTTCATGTAGTCTTCTTCTATTAATCCAATACTTAGTCAATTTTTTTTTCACTAATTCTAGTTCCATGTTGACTTCATACTGACAGGTTATATCCCTGCTCCTTCAGCCTCAGTTCCCAGAGCTATCCAGCTTACCAACTGGCCAGGATTCCAGAGGTCTGCTTACAATAGCTTAACTTCTCTCTTCCTCAGTTTCCTCATGTGTAAAGTGGGTATCATAATTAGGTTTTCCATAGAAAATTAAATGAATTAACTTTCTTAAAGTGCTTGGCACACAAATTTTTATAAAGCTGTCAATTATTATTACAGTAAAGAATTTGATCCTTTTTCATTTACCCTGGTTTGATTTTTGAATTAATTACCTATCATCGTATCACAACCTTTCAACCTTTTTTTTTTTAATCTCCAGGCTTTTAAGTATTTTTCTAGTTTGTTAGATACCATAAGCCCCTAACATGTATTTAATAATTTCAGGGCTTCATTTTCTCTTTGAGTAAGCAACTTTTTGTTACCAAAACAAAATGAAACAAAACAAAAACACACCCAAATTAATTTTCCTTTTGGTTTCCAATTTTTGTCCCCATCAGTCCCTCCTTGTAACCCACTATCCTTCTAGCCTACAGTCTGAGTATGTAGCACCTTATAGCTTAACTAATAAATTAAGAGTATTTAGTGGAACTGTCGTTATGTTCTTGTACCTACACTGCAACGACCATGGCCTCAGACCAAATGAACACTCTCAAATCCATTACAACGTTAAGGGAGGGACAGTTTTCCTACCATAAATATTTATTAAAGATTACATGGGAACTGTAGGACTTTTAGGGACAGAATATAAACCCTCCTTCCTAAAAGTTGTCCCCTACCACCAGGTAGAAGACCCACAAAGCTCAGTTCTTCTCAGATGAAGACTATACTATCTAACATTCCAGAGGACAAAGAAAAGAAGAGGCTTTTTTAACACCCTACCTAGTTTGTGGAATTACAGGAATTTAGCAGAAAAGCCCACATATACTCAGTACTCCCTCCTACTCTCACCTCAGCTTGTACTTACTCCCATTGCACCCCCAGGCAATATGGCATGAAAAGGCTCAGCAAGAAATATTCATTTGTAAAAGAAAAACAAATCATTATAGCAACACTCACTGGTCATTCTGTAGCAAATGTGCAATGCTCAGATTTTGTATTTTCCTGAAATAACATGCACATTTTAGGCATGAAATTATGATTGTTTGACTGTGAAATGCTGCACCCAAACACCATGTGGCTTTTAGCAGCATATCATCATATCAAGAACTATTTTTACCCTTTGGCGATTTTTCCTGCTTTGGCTCTGAAAGCTAGTCCATACGGTATTTGTATGTGGCATCAGTGGCAAAGATTTTTATAAGAGTAGATTTCTTATGTAGTCCCATTTACCAATGATAGCACAGAATCTAAACGAGAAATTAAAATAACCTGCTTTCAGGTTCAACTGGGAAGAAACAAAGTCAGCGAATATGAAAGAAAAAGAAAAAAAGATAAGAAAGGACTTAAAGCGTACTTTTCTGCTCTTTCTGACTTTCCATAAAAAATGATTTAAGTACTTTCTAAGTTTTAGAATATCAGAAAAACAATAGCCTATTTACAACACATATTCTACATTTCCTCCCCAATGACTTTGGATCCTACTGGCAGTGAATTTTGTCCAACATCTCATTTGATGAAAGCGGACAGAAATCCTTAGAACTTCCGTGCATTTGCTGCCTTTCAGAAGCCTGGGAAGAAGAAAAGAGCAACTTCTTACAAGATTTAAGCACATATTGGTCCCCTTCCAGGATGCAGACATGAAGCCATATAAGAAATATTTTGAAAAGACAACCAAAATTAGCCAAACTCTTTAAACTTCCAAAATGCTTGGAGCAAAAGTCTGTTTTAGTTTAATCCAAATTAGTTTGCAGACTTAACTAGAAAGAGAAGCTATAGGAAAATATGAGCTGGCTTAACGTTTGTGTCTTGTCTATAACTACAAAGTTGGCTTTTGTCTCTTTAAGAGGCAGATCTGGTTATGGGGTTTTCCAAACATGTGATGACATGAAGGTGTAGTGACACTGAGCTTGGATCCTTAGACTCAAAAATTCAATTTGCATTGAAAACAAAATAAAACTATGCTAATTCATACAAAACTCCTACCATCTTGCCCACTTTAAGAAAATAATAGTGTTAGAAAGATAAATTAAATCAGTATTATTTTATACTCACCCAATATGTACTGCTGTTTGACTTGGGGAACAATTTCCAAAGCTGCAGAAATGACTTTAAGCTGCTATTGTTAATCATAGCATCTTCTTCGTATAGTCACTCTTGTAGTTACCTCTTTAAGGAGCTTTCAAGCACTATTCTTTTATAATAAAATGCTCCAGAGTTTCTATATTTAAACAGAAGCTCAACTTGTCCATGCAACCTAACTTGGCGCATATGTATTGCAAAGAAATTCCATTTTGTCAGTTGATTTATTGTTGTATCAAAAGAAATAAACTCTTGAACCCCAGGGGAGAAAAATTATGCTGTTCCATTCTACTCATGACATTTCAACATAGGCCAACAAATAACTGGAATTATTCTCTCAAGTGAAGAAACTGAAATAATTTTTTTAAAAGCAAAATTTTGTCCCAATCAACGTTTTTGTAAACCTTTATAAGAATTGTTCTTCTTTCAGACAGTGCTCAAGTTTCATAAGTTTATCTTTTCTAGAAAAGTATTGCTAAACCATTTGTTCTTTAAAATTTGTCATCCAACTTAAAAGGGAAGATACTAGGTAAAGAAACAAACGTGTGAAGTAATGCATTTCCTTCTAGCTAATTCTTTTAGTGGAATATCTGCCTGATAATTGGACATGGTTGAAGCAGTGTATCTGTTCTTGTCATTTCTGGACATATGTTTAAAGGGCCATTCAACAATAGCAGCAGCCTCAGTAATAAAGATTAACCATTATTAAATGTTTATAGGCTTCTGCAAATGCTACAACAAAAGAAAATAAAGTTCTCATTCTTGAGAGGGAAGACTTATTATGATCCCCTTTCAGAGATGAATGTGAAGCTCACAGTAGTTGTGTAGTTTGCTCCAGATCACAAATCTAGCAGAAGGCAGGCAGGACATTGAAACTATTTGTTTGACTTTAAAGCCCATGTGTGAATTACCACTCATTCCTCTGCTGTTTCCCTCCTGCACCAGAAACTAGCCACTGGGTACCTAATAAGCTCGATTACCAAGACTTGCCTTTAGTGTGATTTTCTTTCTTCACTCCTCTCCCTCACCCTCCCACTACCAAAAGGGGGAAAATTGCCATTAAAAATGGAGGGTGGCTTTCTGAAAGGGTATTTGCATGATAGCAAGGCCAATAGACTTCTGAGTTACTACATTCAATTTACTCAGTTATGATCATCAAACAAAAGAAAGGGGCAAGGAGTATCAAATGGGAAATGCCTAAATTAAGTTTCTCATTTTCCCCAAGTATGAATATCAAGAAGACTACTCTAATGAAGAAAAGCAGCATGTAACTTCTCTAAAAGAGAACTGCGGTCCTTGAAGCTGTTTCAGTGTGTTATTCAGCTTTATGCTGTGAAGCAACTCACAGTACTCCAATTGTTTCCTCACTCAGCTACATGTAAAATGTGTACTTAGGAATGCTTTATAAGACATTCAACAAAGTCTTTCTTATTTAACTGCAGTGATTAGAAGAGGCAAGCATTTCATTTTGGCACAGTGTGGCTCACTACCTCATTTCATCCTGTTTGAAATATTACTCAGAGTTCAGAATGCCAAGCTTTGAGCAGAGAAGAACAATGTGTGGTTTTTTTAAAAAAATAAAATAAAATAACAATAGTGATGATGAGAAAAGAGTGAAATAATGTAATTCTTGATTCTGTCAGATTGCACTTCGTTTGGGGAAGAAACAAGTGAGTCCCATGATGTTACCAAAACAGCATCTTAAAAAAATCCCTGCGATTACAAAAGAAGCAAAGTTTAAAACTACCCTGTAGGAGTGAGGGTCAACCAAAGCACTGGGTGACTAGATGAGAAAGACTCGAAGAAAATGTCTGTGAGAAGAGCTATTGATGAGGGGGAGGAAAAAATTGCCAGGCAGCCTAAAAACAAACCTGACCTTAACAGTGACCATATTAAACATATAACAGAAAACCTCATGGAGCAAAACCAGGCAGTGAAGAAAACAAGCAAAAGCTACATGGAGTCACTTAAACATTTTTCATTAGATAATTAAAATATTTAAGTGGTGGCCCCTGACATTTCTTGGTGTTCCATGTATGTCAGTTCCAGATTTTGTTCCAAAAAGGAAGAAAATCTACTTCTCCATGAATATTAAATGAGATCATGCATTGAAGCTACAAATCATGTTAGAAAATCGTGGTCTGTGACCTCAACCCCAACCATCTTTAGGTGAAGAAACTCTATGTCCAAATAAATTAAATGACTGTCCAATGCCACTGGTGTAGTTATTGTCAGAGCCGTACTCAACAGGGCCCGAGTGTGTGACCACAGCCAGGGAAGTTATTTTTAATCCCTTCATGTTAAACCGTATATTTATTTTTTCACATTTTTACAATTCTGAAATAGGAGTACATTTACAATTAATGCGTCTATTTTAAAAAGCCATCTTTTATTTCTTTTATTTTCTTCCCTTCTCTTCTTCCTTTCTTTCTTTTCCTTCTTTCCTCCCTTCCTTCCTTTCTTCCTCACTTTTCCTCTTTTATTTTCCCTCCTAAAGAGCTGCTGTTAAATCTATGATCCATCTTACTTTCTTGAATCTTTTAGACAAACTTCCAGAGTGAGATCTAAGCCAATGAAGTACAATTCTCAGTGAACAGATCACGGATATGATGGAACTTTTGGGAGAATACCAATTCAAGCATAGCTAAAAAATTTTCTTGTTTAATTATTTCAAATCTCATGAAGCATTAGCTGTACAAGGACTAAAACACACTTTTTCTAATTATAAAGCTAATGTATAATCTTCATTTTACCACATTAATTATTTTAATTATTGTTTTCATGTGGCAATTGTTAAGGTACAGAAAAATCACTATGGTGTTCAATCACCTTTATACTTCTGGTCAGTACAAAGAACACTGAAACTGAGTCAACATTTTGTGAATGTCATCAGTGACGACAGTTAATGTATCTATAGACTAAGCCATAAAGTGTTTTTGCCTACATCAGCAATAGATCCAGAAAGTAAGGGTAGAAATTATTTCTGAGGACTAAATTTAAAGACAATGGGATATTTAAATTGAGATCTAATCAGCACAAATTCCGTTATGTCCTGGTACAATGAAATACTTGAAAAATTGTGATAGCAGAGATTCTTCCCTGGGTTTGTAGGCTAAACTTTTAAATAGTGGATAATTTAAGGGGAGATTTACTGAAATTCACTCAGGATGCAACCTGGGTCTATAAATTTGGAGCACTTGGGCTTAGTTATAATAGTTTCAATTTCTATTACATAAAAGTGAAGTGAAATGTGTATAGTATGTTAAAGTAAAAATTCTACTTTATAAATAACTAAAATCCCATGTAAAATATGTACTCCGGAGTCTTAAACTGAATTCCATGTACTTTGAGTTTTCTCTGTTATAAAAACATTGTGGAAATTCAAGTAGTTAAAGGAAGATAAAAGAGTCATTGCTAGCTTGCAAGTAGTATTAAGAATTTGACTCAAAAACCTCTAAACAGACATTCTTATCCCCATTTCTTAGCACAGAGCTTGCTATGCATTAAGTAATTGATAGATATTTGTACATCATTGGCTAAGTAAATAGACTAGGCTTATTGTCCCATCAAACACCTTCAACATTTTCAGTACTTTCTAAGTAAACTTTGTTTCATGTGTAAGAGGAATACATACTGTATTTTTGCTGTTATTGTGGCTCTTAGCACTCTCTGTATTCTTTTTAGAGACATAGGTACATTATATCACCCCCTTGGTACTTATTATAATGCCTTTGTAAGACTTAATCTTTGCATTAGACACAGAATAGAATCTTGCAGTGGAAGACTCAATCAGTTTTTAATGTATTAATTATAAAGGAATAAATGTGATTGCATGAATGATTTTGAATAAATGGAATATTTATGAAAAAAGACAATGGTATAAGGTTAAATTAAAAAAGAAAATCTACATATATACTTGGCTATACATTTTTAGATTATCTCGTTAGTATGTTCAAATCCTTTCTCGGAATAATCTCAACACAACTTCCTAAGGTGCCTCATTATATGGAAGAAAGGGAGGGTAGGGACTAAACCAGCACTGACCATCTATTTTTGTCTCTTTTTTTTCTGTATCGGCATCCATCCTTTATGTATGTACATTTACCTTAAAAATTGCTACTGTTTGGCTTGCAGCCATTTTCAAGATTAATATCATGGCTTATTTGTAGATTTTTACAACTATTAGAAAAATAAGACTGTTTTTCAAGCAGTTTTAAGGGAAAATATTCATCCTCTTTTCCTGATTTTAACAGTCCAGAACACTATTGATTTATTAAAATATCAGTACTGCTTGATAAATGCAAATATTGCTTGTCCAAGAAAAAGTACAACATTGAGATATTGGCAGGAAGTTTATATTCATTCCAAAGAGAAATTTCTACATAAGCATTTTATCAGATGGAGTATATGATACAACTATACAACTTTCATGACAAAAGTTCTCTTTTTTCTTGCTTTACGTTCCAGATTTAAAGAAAGAACATAATTGCAACCACTCTTCGTACACGTCAGACACCTCATTTCTCCAAACCGTCTTCTCCAAATGAAACAATACAGATCTATTAGTGTAATTATCACATAAGGTCATTTACCACTTTGTAATTGCTGCAGGTTGTGAATGATGTATGAAATGAAAGCATCTGCAGTGCAAATAGAACATAGGCAAGAATGTGCTGTGTGCTAATTAGGTAACCATCTAATGATAAGACCCCAGGGAAACACAGGGTAGCAAAATCCCACAGTGCTCTGCAGTCACAAGGCAACAAAACATTCCTAAGGAGTTCAAAAATATATCCATTATTAAGTATAATCCTTTCCTCTCTTCAGACTCTCTGAACTCTGTTCCCTGCGTGCATACACCCCTTCTGTCTACTGCATCCTGTGCAATGCTAATCAGGTCCCAACAGTCATAAGAATTGCTATAAGAATTGTTCTACTTATTCATAGTGAAGATTGAGGACTTATTTAAAGAGTGTTGATGAATTTTGGTTTTATATTGTTTTCCTGACCGTTCTATTGAAATTTATGTTCCAAGAGAAGGCCACATTGTTAAGTAGGATTGCAGACCTCAGTCATCAAAAATCTCAGCTGATGGGTATAAAAGGAAAGGAGTTCATGTTACTTAGAGCAAAATCCTACTTTGTTTATGCAACA